CCAGGTGGCTGCTCAGGTCCACCGTGCGCTTCACGTCCTCGTTGACCAGCGGCAGTACTTCCGAGGAGGCGCTGCTCATTGCCGGGGCCGAAGCCCCGAGCAGCAGCAGCACCAAGCACAGGCAGGCAGGGAGCGCCTCCATGTATTTGTCCTTTTGTAATGGAGATATTCCACTCAGCATAATGTCCTCCAGGGTCACCCATTTTATATAATATTTTATGAGTTCCTTGTTTCTTAGTGCAGCATAGTATCCCATTACGTGAATATATCACATCTTCTTTATCCATAGAAATATATGATTAGGTATTACTTGCAATAGTCCAGGAGAAGAGGTACATAGCGGAGTAGACCGGGGGTGGTGGTGGGGAGCGAGAAAATTGTGCAACAATGAAATAATTTTTTAAAAGATAAAAGTGAGTGTGGGGGTAGGGAGGAAAATGTGCAAAAAAGAATGAATGGAAATCCAAGTTTTCTGTAAACATTCATTAAAATATCAATTAAAAATATCTGAAATAGGCAAATGTATAGAGACAAAGTTTATTAGTGATTATCTGGGGCTGAGATTGGGAGCGAGGGTGGGACATGGGGAATTATTGCTTAATGAGTAATGAATTTCTGCCTGCGGTGATGAAAAAGTTTTGGAACTAGACAATGATAATGGTTGTACAGCACAGTGAATGTAATTAAATAAGCACATTTAAAATTGCTAATGCAATTTTATGGTGTTATTTATAGATGTATATTTCATTTAAATAAATATTTTAAAACCATAAACAAAGAAAATTCAACTCTCCTATACACTTTCAAATTTTTTATTAAAAAAAAAGAAAGAAAAGAAAATTGCACTGGAGTGTCCAGAAGCCAAACCAAAGGGAAAACAGGCCAAAGTAAAAGAGCTGAACAGAAGATTTCAAAGGGTAACTTGAGAAGACAAAGTATTATAATGGAATGTTCAGAGAGCTGGAGTTGGGTAATTAAAAGGGAAAACTGCATTTCTCAAGCTGAGAGAACTGAAATACAAATTTAAGCCTGTCGTTGTTATGTGCTGTCAAGTCGTTTGCGACTCACAGCGAACCTATGTACAACATCCCTAAACTCTGCTCTGTCTTGTGCCAGTCGCACTGTCTCTCATACACCCATCCCTATTACCCAAGTCACTGAATCAATCCACCTCATAGGGGGCCTTCCCCTTCTGCGCTGTCCCTCCACCCTACCAAGAATGATGTCCCTCTCCAAGGACCTGTCCTTCCTTGCAACATGTCCAAAGTATGTTAGAC